TGTGTCACTCGTGGAAGAGCATGGTTTGTTACTGTGAACTTGGTAGACACTTGAATAAAGCATAATCAATCAATCAATCAATTAATCAAAATATATAATTAGTCGGAACCTTTATTAAGGGATCAAATCTTGCCATTTTCGAAAGTCTGTCTATCTATTAGACCAATAAATGATTAACTAATACTAATTTGATGAATCTTTTTTATGCATGTGTTTGTAATTTTTATTAAGGTCAAAGATTGGCTTATCAGATTATAATTCCTAATAATGAAAATGTTTTACATAATAAGATTTGAATAACTGTTTCCCGATAGCATATTTACATACACAAGTCAAAAAATTAGCACTCCATTAACTCGCATCTTATTGGAAGTTTATTTCGATTTTCCCTTTCCCAAATTTATACCGAGCATTACCATCATACACCCAATGTTGTCCCCACAAGCAGGCATCAACCACATCAAAAAATTCAAGTAATTCCTCATCCTTTCCGAAAATCAAGAGCAGCCCGTCTTTAAGATGTCCATACTCCAAAAGTATTTGATCAAAGTCGTTGCAAGTTGCCGTCACAGCGCTCTGAAGATCCATCCCTACTCGCGAAACGCGATAATACACTTCGCTCGCGATTTTTTCATTTCCCCCAGAAAAATCCTTCCCCAATCCCAATAAATCGTTTGCCATGTACAGACTGATTTGAATGATTTTTTCAATTTCCGCAAACATCACGTGATTTCGTATTTCTTCATTGTGCAAATACTTTCGGGAGGCAAATGCCATGAGATTTAACATCCACAAGCCGAGGAGATTGTATCCACGAAACGTTTTTAGTGGTTGGAGGCTATAGCTGGAATAAGATTTCTTTCTATGAGTAGGTACTTCCTTAAAAATGTCAACTAGATTTTTTATTATCCAAAAATTCTTATTTCGGATTCTAAAAAGACTTATTTCTGCTTTGCTTTAATCTCAACCTGCCCCATGTCAAACTTTCCTCACCAGCTTGTTCACTAACTCATAACAAACTTGACGAGTTGGTGAACATGCGGCGAGGAAAGTGCATCCTTAAGCAACGCAGTTATGATTATAACCTAAAATTAAATATATTTATATGATTACCTAACCGCTATGGCTATAAATTTACTAGCAACTGATTATAAATCCATCACAACGGGTATCAAATTGAATACCTGTGGTGATAATCAGTCGGTGACAAATTTATACCCATGGCGGTACACACATGTTTACTTTCTGATTATAATCGTAATCGCATTTCTTAGAGTGCGGGATATGGGGTGGATTGGGATTAAAACAGGGCAATAACCCGTAATCTTTTTCCACCTAGGATTAGACTTGAGAATTCTGAGAAAATACGATACTGTCAGTCTCAAATTCCCCCTCCGAATGAGTAAAATTCTTCTGAGACTGACAGTGGCATAGTTTTTCAGAATTCTCAATTTCTGTAAAAGTCTAATCCTGCATGGATGGAGAGTACATAAGTATGAGGTTTTGGATAAAGAAAAACTGAGCCGATATTATTATGTAGAAAATTATCACTTAACTAACTTTTTCTCAAACTTGCTCGTAAAACCCCACTCGTTGCCATCAAAGCCAAAACGAGTGGCGCGTATGACGCTTTTGACCTCCCTTGAAAACGTCTCTAATCCAAGTAAGTCTACCCCCGTTTTTGCAATGTCTTCCATCAAGTTGAACAAACTATCGAGTTCTTGCGGATTCCAGATTGTCGAGGTAATCGGTCGAGGCTGTTTCGGCATACCGCCGGCCTCCATAATGTCGATAAGGTGCGTATGAACTTCCCGCATTCCCATAAGTTCGTCCGAAGAGAGAGGCGACTCTTGGTACCGCATTTCGACCGGCTCATCGTACAACCACGACCAAATCATCCATTTTCCGACGAAAAATATTTCCTTGGAGTCTGGAGATTTGTAAGGCATGCAGTGAATCGCAGCTCTGGCAGATGTATACACGGCGCCCCACAATTGGTCGTAAAAAACTTTTCGCCATTCTCTGTGCGTATTGGTGATAAACCAGTCAGCCAAATCTTTCCGAAATGCGTCGATATCTTCCTGAGTTGCGTTACTTTTGTATTTCGGGTTCAGTTTGCGATACTGGCCGGTGACGACGATTGGAATTTTCGAATTCAAGTCGTACACATTACGAACGGTGAAGTCAACCTTGTCGGAGTTATTGTTGTTGGAACTGGAAGATGTGAATGTTGATATAAGTATTTATATTATAAAAACGCCGATTTTTTAGCTACCCCTTCCTTATCCTACTCATTTTAGGCTTTATTAGAATCAAATTGGAGACCCAATACCTCCCACCCACCCCACGTTTTTATGACGTAATACAAGGTCTATTAATATATTCTTCTTCCACGAAAGTTTGAACCTTTACAGAAATTGAAAATTCTTCGAAACTACGGAACTGTTAGTCTCAAATTCCCTCAAATAATGCTGACTAGGAACTTTGAGACTGGCAGTGCCGTAGTTTCTCACAATTTTCAATTTCTGTAAAAGTTCTAAGTTGCATATATTTCGACAATATAGAAAATTATTAAGTATTACTTTACCCCATATTTTTGTAGGTGAAGTAGTCAATTTACTGTGTGAGCAAAGGATTTGCACTCACCAAAGCGAATGTTGAAAGGGCATTCTCGGACTTATTATATATGGAAATTTTTAAGCACTGAAGTACTTAGCAGAGAGAAGAGTGGATTTATTATTCAAGTTAAGGTACACACTTACCAAGACTTACATAAGTTATATACGGCATTTACCTAAAACACATTATCCTTTTGACGTAATCCCAGAGTTATAGTTTAAGTTTTACATAAGACCTGCTTAACAAGGAAGTCTAAATTTTGCAACAATTTGTCAGCTAAAATTTTCGAATTTTTAGTTGGAATAGCCCGAGTCAGGATTTATTATACATGTAATCATATTTTCTAGGGTAATGTACCTAGGTTAGGTTTTTTTAAATTTCAGACAGGGAAAATTTTTCTAATGCACTGGTCGTTTAGTTTTCTTAAAATCTAATAATGTACACATACATACATCTCCTCGAATACAATTTATACTACATGAATAAAATTCGTTTTCTAGCCCTGAAATTATTTTGCCCATATGAAGCACCTCCGTCAACTGATTACCACAAAGGACACGAGTAATACCATTTTCTTTGGTGAGCTATACAAATTGCTCAAACCACGCCGGATTTCTTACACTCTTCCAAATCGAATTGTTAAAACAGTTTGACACATAAGGTCTACTTCGGCAAACGTTGAAACATATTGAGTAAACCGTACCCGGATATTCCAGTTCTCTTTTTACAATTCATTTTCCTACCTAACCCAAATTTGATTCTGGCAATAGGTATAAAATGATAAATACATGAATTCCGATATGTGATTATATAAGTACCTCAGTATGTGCAAAACCATAAAATCATCCGGTCTCTGAATTGTAATTATAAGATAAGTTTGGGTACATACGTACGTAACAATTTGTTATTTATGTAACAAAAATATTATTGTTGGTACATAATAATTTATTCAACGAATAATTCTTACAAGACTCGCTCATTAAATTGCAGGTTATTATTACAACTTAATGCACTAAATAACGAACTCATAACAATATCCATAACACATTATCGCAATTATTATTTTCCATAATTGCAAGTTCTCACACCCCCATTTGTTGAAATTTTGGAATTGTCAAGTTCAAATCAAAACAGCCAACGACGCTTCTTGAGGCAGTTAGCGCAATGGTTAAAGTTTCTAGCAATATTTGAGGTTATAGTTGAAAAATGAGAGATTTTTTTAGCAGGGGATGAGAATTGGAGTGGAGTTTCGTCCTCGACATCCCAAAAATATAGCACACCGTATTACTCACTGTTCCACAGTACCTCGAAGTGTCTGCATCATTTAAGGGGTGTAGCGAACCGAAAATTCCCTTTATGAAATTGTCTTGTGAATCTGTCCGTCCGTATCCACGAAACTTTAGAATGGCTTTCGACATGCGGTTCTTGCCAACATGTTTCTAATTTTTGAAGTGCGGTTGAGTTCGAAGATGGGCGTTGTAGGTCATAAGGTCACGGCGCAAAGAGGACGGTCAAACGGGCCGAGCTTTTTTGTTTCGACGTATTTTTGGGCAGGGATTTCAAAAATCGTCATATACATACTTGATGTGCCATGACCGCCTGACCGTGTCGCTTCACCACATTGTTACATTTCGTTTGCAACGGCTTAGTTGATTTTGTATTTAAACTTTGCATGCATGTCGTTCATTAGTATACATTTCTACACTCTTAAAAACCTGGTGTTGATCGTCACCAAACGGGGAGCCCACATGACTTAACCAAATTGTGACAATGTTTTACCCCACATTGTGATAAATCTTCCCCACAAGGTGTAAACGTAACTACAGATATTGAGGATTTATCACAATGTGGGGTAAAATATTATCACAATTTGGTTAAGTCATGTGGGCTCCCCGTTTTGCTAAGAGTGTATGTATAAGTTAGGATCAAAGGGGTGACGTCGGGCAGGAGACATAAACAACAGTTTGATTATCTTGCAATTTTGGGAAACTCATAAATAAACTTGCGTGATTCGCAGTATAGGAATATAAAAATTATATTAATTGGCGATAAAAATATGTACTTATTTATCGTCACTTATTAAGAAGCGATATTGCGATCTAATTCCAGTTTTTGAAATCGAGCAAGAATTTCACGCCAAACTTTTAACCAGACGACACCCTACTTGACACAAATTTACGCGTACAATTAAAAAAAATACTGAATGGACAAAGATTTGTATCATGTAAATCGTAAATGCCTAGTAAATGACACGTATTTAGCACAGATAACATACATAATTTCATAACTAACAAGGTATAATATTAGTTGCTAAGTTTTAATGGGTCCAATGGACCGGATATAAAAAGGAGGCTGATTTGCATTTGAAAATCATTCCAACTCTTCAATCCATCGAACAAGTAAGTGCATTAATCTTTCGTCCCGATATAAATATATCTTAAAGAAAGAAAGTAAATATATAATTAATATACCTTTGGAAATTTACATAATTACAGTTTTCATACATATTTTCTTATTTATATGAGAAAATTGATTCCCGCACCCTGCCACAATGAAAATCGGGTTTGTCGTCATTTTCGCCATGTCGCTGATCTTTTCAACCGCTGCTCAGGGCCCACCCGGTAAAATATTTACTCTTCTCCGCCAACCTGCCCCCCTCCCTTTTGTAATGTCCCACTAAAGTCCCGCTAAAGTCCCACTTTTGGTGGAATGGTACTATTACAAATCCATTATTAACGTAATTCCTATACCTGTATTCTTTTATGACCCTACCAAAGTGATATTGATAAGTAATAATGTGTATTTTGTTACTAACGTTTTACCATTGCGGTAGCAATTTGAACAGTTCTGTATGTAGATATAATTTCATACAGGACGGTAACAACCGAGAAATCAATAAGTACGTACATATGCAGATATCAATCATACACACATACATACATATGCCCGATTTCTAGCCGTGTGTAAATTTTTACAACACTGATAAAATTACAAGAGTTGTGATATTTATGTACATATGTACAAGTCCTCAGTTTCTGTTGTGGGCTTATGTATCTCTGTGAAAATTCCAAATTTGAGAATACGATAAAACTTAAAAAATATATATTTATGCTTTTAATTCCTTTTCATTTTCCTTTTTTGAAAAATATTTCTCACGTGATTTACGCCTATTTATTCATTGCATGTTTTCCAGGTGAAGGATGGATGTGCATAATTTATTATATTTCTAACATTCCGGACTTGTTTAGGTATCTGTTCGACCCTGGGAGACGCTTGCCGTGACGATGGTGGGACACCGGTTGGATGTGAGGATATCGTAGCCGATTCCATAATTTGTGTCAATCCATAGATTGGCACTTTCGACGACAGTTGCCGCTCCTTTGCACCAAGCTGTGCAGTCGTAACGGTTGGGTTTCAGCACACGTGCACGTGCCCCGGTGAATGACAAAATGCATTTGGAAGTTTGAATTCTTGAGGATTATATGGCAATGAATAAATCTGAACAAAAATTAAATAAATCAAATTATATAAGCAATACCATTCTACGATTACGTTATGTACTCACAATGGAGAGGTGGTTATCGCCAATATGGACCGGACTAATTTTAAACTACTCACTTTCAGAAATAAGCCCACCCGTATTTTTCGTTTTCCTGAATGGGCATGTTTATGTCAGTGGCGGAATTTTCCAAAAAAAATCAGAATTTTAAAATCATTCATATCCTATTAATCACTCTGACTTCTTATTTATTAGCATCCCTGGGTATGAAACGTGACGAGGTTAAGTGTCGTGTGGGGGGATGAAATAGGTAAGGGATGAACTGTGGGGATGAATCATACCACATATTTTGCACATGCATATAATTTGCAAATTTTGCGTATTTATTTACTAACATACTGTTCAATTCACAAATTGACCACATTTATACCTTCGGCAGATGAAAACAAAGGCAAGAATGGTAATTCGATATTTATACTCCAAAATACAAGTTATCCCGCTACTTTGTAGCGAAATTGGGACCTGCCGAGATGCGTCGGATCTGATTGGGAAGCAGGGATGACCCACAGGACTTGATGGTACCTGCGTCACTTTGACAGACGGCTCTAATCTCGGTGCACACACTAGATAAAAATAAGTAACATTTATGTATATACTCAAGGTTGAGTAAAAAAGAGGACGATACATATGTACAAGCAAAATATAAAGTATACCGGTAAGATCTACATATGTATTTACCATTAATGCTTTATGCACATACACATGTTTTTATTTGAATCCATGATGAATACATTTCGTATAAATACATATGTATTTCAATGGAATATTCAAATAATCTATGAATACATATGTGGAACACAGTAGCATAATTACAGATCACGAATGTATTGATACGAATGTGTACATAAACTCACGTGTATATTTATATACAAACAATATTTTACATATATTTGCTTACCATACATAATTATAAACGTGTATAGTGAGGCAATTCACACAGTGGATTATAATTTATAATCCGAAACGATACAGACGTATGTAAATGTCGCACAATTCCTGTCGAAAATTAACAAACTCGTCCTTGGTTTTTATACCTGTGTATCAATTTACGCAGGAAATTCTTCGCAAATTTTGAATGCTGGCGATTTTACGCAAATCATGTAAATTTATACACCTAACTTACTAAACGTGTACTAAAATTAAGAATTTCGCGATTTCCATCTTTTTCACCAAAGTATTCAGCATAGCTTTGAGTTGGACATGATCTCCAGAAATGGCAGCAATTTGTGTCCCAATTTTGTCCATCAGTTCTTCATGATAGTGGCGGAAGTGGTACGGCAGGTTTATCTCGTCAAATATCGTTCTCACAACTTGCACACTTTCCTCGTCCTTTTTTCCGTAAGTGGCCATAAGAATCTCTCGCTGTTCGGGATTTGCAATTTCCATCGCTTTGCAAATTAGCCAGGTGCATTTCCCCTCCGCAATGTCGGTTCCGCTCTTTCCCGTTTGCGTAATGGTGCAATACACGTCCAAAAAATCGTCCTGCGCCTAAAATGTAAATATGCACACTCTTACTGCAGGAAACTGGTATTAAATTATTTTACACAATTTACGGATTTTACAAAGTTACGAAGGATTGTGTGAATTGCCTCATTGGATAACTTGATCACACATAGGTTGTTGCAGGATAGTAAAACTTACCTGGAAAATTTCGCCCAACTGAAGCCCTACACTTTCAAGATGATTTAAAAGTTTTCCATCCTGCAGACCTGCGAGTATCGCTCCAAGTCGAATTGGCAACACGAATGTGTAATAACCCGTTTTGTATTCGGCAATTTTGAAAAAATTAGCCATCTTGCATCTTTCCAAAAAATGTAAAAAAAATTATGATTCGTATAAATTTGAGGCCACCGATCAGTTTTCAACTTTATAAAATCAGGTTCATAACTTTTCTCTATATTTCTCTTTTTCAATTAAAACTTTACTCCAACCCTATAAAAACTTTGAGCACAACCACATTCAAATTTTAACCACATCGGTACCCCCTCACTTTTCAGGACGCCAAATTTTGTCCCATAATTTCCATGAAAAATCCCGACCCCACAAATTGCTAACCTTTCCTCCGAAATTTCCTGACATGCCAGAACATCAAGATTTTGCCCGATAATCGTTTTCAAGGTGATGTCATGGAACGCGTCGACAAACTTTGTGTAAAATTCGGTCTCCCCAAAATATTTTTTGAGCAGGTGATAAGCACAAGATTCCAGGTAGAAGGCGTCATTTATAGCGTTCATGCCAACCCCGTCCACAGTGAACCAGGATGGGCGTCCCCTCCTCAGGGGGGAGGAATCCATCATGTCGTCCGCTATCAGGGAGGAGGTTTGAAGCTAAATAGAAGGTTGAAAATTTGTATTTTTCAGAATTTTCAAATAATAATAAAAACGAAACCCTGGCCAAGATACATTAAAAAAACCGTGCATGAAGGGCAACTTGCAAATTCATACCTTACAAATAAATAAATGCATAGATCATTTTATGTACTAACCAACTCACCACACCATCCCAAAATCCGGGCAGAATTCATTTGTTCCGAAGTAGGATTGTTGGTCAATGCCTTGAACGTATTCACGACCAAAAGTCCCCTGAAATTCGGGATTAGTAATATGTATGTATGACGTTTGAAAATGTTTAGTTTGACCCCACACGAAAATTAATCTAGTCCCGAAGTGGTAATTTTTTTCGCGAAGTCATTTTACCATCTTTACCTATACATATATCAGATTGAATACTTAAGTATTCAATCTGAATATTGAAAATATTCAACCACGAAAATTTGCATACAATAAGGTTTGCAAAATTATTGTAATTTCATTTCCTACACATCAGTTTTCATGGTGGAACGTGCATGGTTATTATTTACCTTTGTACTTTTCCGTGTGGAACGTTGTAATCTAAGACCTTGCCAAACCACTTCGTCGACTCGATAAATCCACAATTTTCGCACACCTCGACCAAGTCTTGTCTCAGTTTCGGGAACACTTTCCGGAAAGAGGTCTCATCCTCCGGTATAAATGATTCCCTGTAAAATAAAAATCATATTTAATAAAAATTCAGCCTTTCAGAAACACTTCAGTTCCAAAAAATATTTGTTAATGTTAATTATGACTTTATAATTGTCATGATTTGCAGGATTATGCTTACCCATTCTTCACCGTGGCGACGGGAATCGTAGTAGTGACCATTTTCGACACAAATGTGGTCAATGTTCCCAACATGTTGTAATTATTTTCAAAATGTATGCTTTCCTGATTTTCAATGATTTATTTTCCTTACAGAAAAAATTAAATTGTACGCATCATTGCAAATATTTAAAGCAATTGAAGCAGTGAGTGTTGGCGTGGGTTTATTTTGTATGTGGAATTACTTCAGCCAAGTCATACTGGAATTTTTTTTATTGTGTAAGCGTGGAATGACCAAGTAATTAGGTACATAAACATGTACAAACCTGGTAACATGAAGGAACAGATGTCATAAAGATAAGAGAACTACACATAATAAGACGTCTGTAGATACATATATACATTTAAACATTCTTACTGATTATGTACAGTTCAGGAAAATGTGGCCTAAACCGTGGGATAAAATGCCAAATTAATAAAATGTTCTCATATATTAAGAATATTAAGATAAATACCCTATGTAACTTATCTTAAACCCTGTTTATTACTTGTTATATATGTAGACGTTTAGATTTTTTAATTCCTTTTTACACGTGAAATTTGGTTAGAAACGGGTAAAACATTTGTCAGTTTAGGTACCACGGGGTACATAAAAACGCAGAGACGTTCATATTTAAAATGCGTCAGTGTTTCTACGTGTGCTTACGAAGATGTTTATTCCAAATGTGTCAATCATGGAAGGAATACTTTTTTGTCACACCAATTACATAGAAAAGGGTCACAATTATCCGAAAATTCAGCACATGCCCGAACCCAATATCTTTTTCATTACATATGTATATAATTCATAATTTTGCTGTCTTGATCTTTTACGAATACACCAACCTTATGTACATTTGTTCGAATGATTTTCACCATTTTCTTCGAACCTCGATCATACGATTTATGCGTGGTTCGTAGAAAAATGTCCAGTCCCATACATACATACAGGGGAAAACATATTGTGAAATTTCATGAACAAAGGAAATAACCAGCGTGATGATGTACATGCATATAAGATGATAAGGTTTGCAAAAAAATAATGGTACATTTATGTACATAAGTGCGTACTTTGCAGAATTAACAACGACTTGCAATTAATTATGGATTGTTACACAATGTGTTCTCATAACTGAAACAAACAACGTAAACAAATTAAACATGCTTTATTTAATTCTCAGAGAAGCATTGCTAACGTTACGAAATTTTAACTTCTATCGAAGAAAATATAAAATTTTATGGGTTCAGAATTTACTATTCACGCGATTAAATGTTTGTCGTGCTGAAATAATTTCATAATTACTCTAAAATTAGTAATCCAATCGATTTATAATCTTGGCTAAATAAATGTGTAAGACATCTTCGATAGATTTGAACTATTTATTTCTTATTTAAAGAAAGGTTCATAACTTTGTTCCAAACATGATTCAATTCTAAGGGTAAATACACTTTTGTAAACTTTTCAAGTTTTTCATAAGTCGGGAACATTCTCTTGGTCGCATTCACGGAAACGTCCAATTGTCTCGAAAAAGTGGTCGGAATAAGGTACAGGTCTATAAAAAACATGGATAAATTATGTAATGCCAACAAAACAAATTTGGCGTAATCAAAAACGTTTCCATATCTTCAGCATAACTTAACGTTTACATGACATTTGTCAAATCGAGTAAAAATTTTGCACAAAAAAACGTAGAATTTGCACTCTTAAAAACAATGTTAACTATTGAAAAGTTAGTGTAAATACGGTGAATTCTAAAAAGAATGCAAACTACACTAAATCCAGATTACCTAACTTTACTCTTTATGAAGTCAGTGTTACTCTGGATTCAGTGTATGTACATAGTTTATTAATATCTTTAGAATTGAGAGAGCATCTACTTTTCGAAAAGGTAACCTTATTTTTAAGGGTTTAAAATTAAATTATTTCAAAAATTCTTTGAAAATTACACCTCTGTTTAAAATATGTAAAAATGTATTTACTCGTTAGCTTCACTACGAAATATCTTTTATTTGGAATATTGACGTGATTGATTGATTGATTGATTGATTTCAATGAGGCGCCCCATTGCATGGGACTTTACACCTCAAGGATAAAAGAAAGTCATACATTATACAATTTTCATTTTGCTTGTACATACATATAAAACAATGATGATTACATCATAGAAAAACAATCTTGATATTCAAACGAGTCGAATAAATCGAATAATTCCATAACTCTTTTTGTATTCTGGACATTTAAAAAGTACTTCTTCACCTCTTTTTTGAACCTAGTTAGACTCATCTTTTCATGCTCATTTCTTAAATTTAATGGTAGATTAGACCAAGACAGTGCTGCCCTATATTTGAAGGACTTTTTGGCAATATTATTACTAATTGACATATCAGGCTTGTAGTAAGTATTATTACGAGTATTTCTACATATAACCGTATTTATTGGTACATAATTGGCAAAATATTTGGGGCAGCTCCCATTTAGCATTTTAAACACATGTTTACACAACTCAGCCTGCACGATATTTTCCGATTCTAACCATTCCAAGTCGACTGATAAGTCATCAGATATAGGGTCATACTTCCCTTTATTAAATACATATCTTGCACATTTTCTGATTACCTTATTTACACACTTTAAATTATTCTTACCAAACAGCCATACAGGGGATGCGTATAACAGACTAGAGAATACCAATGCATGTATTAATAGTACCTTGTTCTTGCGTTGCACGACATTTTTAAGGGGACCAATTGACCAAAGAGAGCTGTTACAACCCTTTATCACCTTATCACATTGATTATTGAACTTTAGATCTTCATCCAATAATACCCCCAATAATTTTGTACAAGTAACCCTTCGGATAGGTGTGTCATTAATTTTTATAACAATATCTGATACAGCAGATTTTAATTTACGGGGGCAAATACAATAAATTCACATTTATTTACATTCATTTATTTACATTAAATTCGTGAGTATGCTGTCATTTAAGTAATCAACAAAAGTATTTATTCACTTACGAATGGATCTCAAATACTGAGGCACCTGGACCGGAAGGAAAAGATGTTTCGCTTCATGCCCTAAAATGAAGTGCTTCTCGTCCGAACAGAGTAGCGGTGATGACATAAAGTGAATATTGGATTTGACTCCGGAATCAAGAATGGCCGAGTAGAAATCTTGCGGGAACAGGTGCACGATCGGGAACACAATTTTCATGAGGATCCAAAGAAGACCAGTGTCCTCCCAGCGTTGGAACGTCCGTTCACCGGAAAGCATCCGATTTATCGAATCGGAAAAGTCGTACGGGTACGTTGGGACTAGTGCGGAGCTGAAAAATGTGGAGTATGCACGTGTTTTTATTTTGTTTTCAGCTTAATATTTAGAAAAAAATATCAAAAGTTCAAAATTTCAAAATTTTTCGAAGCGATTGGAATTGGAATATTTAAAAAAATTAAAATTTCAAAATCCCCAATAATTTCAGAAAAAAACATACTTTTTCGACTTACAAATGATTTCCCATCCCCCCACCTGTCATGATTGGATGACCCGGCCACCCAACAGGGCTAAGACAGTGGCACCCCTCCTCCCCCATTAAAAAATCTGTCTCACATTCCCCCTCGTCCTTTACCCACCTAGCCCACGCCCCCACAAGTAACGCTGCACAAACGGTGGAAAACCGATACCCCAACTTTCTCCGGATTTCCTTCACTTTCATCAGATCCAGCGTCACCATAGAAATCATCCACGCTTCCCCCACCGCCGTTACCGCGTTATTCGCACGTGTCCGGTATCGAATAGCCCCACCACCGCGCCTCCATCCCGTGACAAGTTCTCTCAAAGTGAGCGGCAATTGAACAATATAGTTTAGCCTGGTCAGAAATGGGGTCATCTACATAAATCAATATCGTAATTTACATAAATTATACTGATTTAGTCAGTAGCCTCTACATAAAACCGATCATTACTATTGTTAATTTTGCTATGTACACTCTAAGAAAACTCGTGGTATTAAATTATTACTGGCCAGAGTACATACATACATATATATGTATATGACTCTTTCTTCACCGTAATACGTAATTGGCATTACGGTTTAGTAATGTTGTGGTAATGAAAAATTTACCATTCAGCAATAAATTACTAGCAACTCAGCAGGAGGTTATTACCAAATCGATAGCAGTACGGAAGATATATATGTAATTTTACCAGATTTTTAACAGTGCATTATTACAATTTTTATTCAATGGGGTCACCTTATCAGAAACGAGATAGGGTTGTGCCACCCCGCTAAGTTTTTCGACGAGATGGATAAACGTATAGCCATCGCAGAGACCGTGGTCTATCTTGAATAGGAGGATCGTCTCGTCGGGGCGATGTGCAATAAGAATCTCCCACAAAGGACCCGATCTGTAGGTCGATTTGGACATCCATGTTCCGATAAAGCGTTCCACGACAGCCTCGGAGTCAAGCTGTGATCCCGGGTGGAATTTTATTTGTGAAGTGATCAGTTGTTTGGAGGAGAGGGGCAGTTTTACCTTATAGCAGTAGAGTCCCCACCTACATAAGAATTTTTCGAAAGTATAAAAATCTGTACATTTTCTTAAAAACATTGTTACCCTTTTGAAAAATAAATGCGTTCTAAATTTAGTATTAGAGCTAATAAATATGTGTGTAAACTTATGTATTTGAATGACATAGAATTCAGAGTGCGTTAACTTTTCAACTTTCGTTAACTTTAAAAGGGTAACATTATTTTTAAGAGTGTAACTTTAAGTTAAAAATCATATACATACATACATGCATATGTCTAAATATATACTTATAATTTATATCCTTAAACTAATTTACTTCACAAATAATGTCAGCATTTTTCAAATTATGCTTACCTGACAAATCTGCACCAGAAATTAGCATATTTTTCTCTACTTGTTTCCTCATCATTAAGGAAACAGGTATGAAAATGTTCTCTGAACTTTTTCAGGGACAAGTGACCCCTTAATCTCCACACCTGACAGCAATTCATTAAGACATGGTCTTCACTCGGGGCTGAAGTGACGTTCCCGTCCTGCACTCTTAAAGGGATCAAATCAGGTCGGAAAAGCTTGGCCGAAATGTCATGAAGTAGCCAGAGAATAGTGGAAGGAATTAAAATAAAACTTAACACCGGAAACAAAATTGTCCAACCCAACAATCCCAAAAAAGTCCGTCTCCAGTAACTGTACCAGGAAGAAGCCATTTTTTCAGTTTTATATTTTCGGAGCACCTTTTTTCTTTTTTCTGAACAGACTTACACATATATTAACTTTGAAGATTGTAGCACTGAAAAAACTTGTACACTATTAGAACCCTGCCAATATCTAAATCATTACTGACCGGAATACTTACAGGCATATGTTACTGTATCAGCACGGTAATAACGGCAGTACCATTCAGTAATGTTGCATGGTAATGAAAAACTTGTGGTGCAAAATGACTGCAAGTGGTAAATATTTGTAGTGGACAATAAAACCATATCTACATGAGGCTATCTTTCTTTACATAATACATATATACACATTATGTAATGTATGTATGTATTAACTAGCAAAAGATAAGAAGGACAGGACAAACGTGAATTATGTAGAACAAGTGCGTCATGCTCAAATGCATGAATGTCAGAATGACAACGCTGGACCATCATTAATCACTCTAATCTGTATTCATATAATTCTCATAGGTAGAAATATTTTTAATTTAATCCATTTAATATTTTTAAATTCATCCAGTCCAGGCTATGATAACTTCTGATAAACATTATTAAAAAAACACTTTTATAAATTTTTACAAATAAAAACACGCTAATGAACTGAATATGTACACAAACTTACATAATTTGTGAACTAATTTTTTTTGAAAATATTTGCAGATTTTTAAAGATTAGTATGTTAAAAGAATTTACGGATTTTACAACATTGCTACACAAGAACTGGGTGAATTGTCTTGACACGTTATTATTTAAAATTAGAAAATATTTAATTGTCCTCATGCCACTTATTTTATTCATCTGCAGTTGTTAATTTGTGATTTTGACAATTCTCAGCCCGTTAAGAAACTAAATAATTAAATAAAACAGCCACTTACAACTTTATTTTTAACAAATTATTGTTACTGGGTCACGATTAGTTGCGGGAAGTTTTTGGCAGGTTAAAAAAAGTCGAAAATGAATGTCACAGCGTGAAATAAAATTTTGTTAACATTTTCTTAAGCACCCATCTCCATGCTAGTTATTCTTCCACTAGGATTAACAACAATAATCTTAAACGCACAAAGAGGTATGTACATATCTACAAATTGCAAAACTTACATATGTACATGTATCATACCCAAAGACCGAGCTTAAACAAAATAAGTAATTATCACCTAGTAGACGTCTCAATTTAATTTACATATTTTAAATCAGTGGGTTTAAAATTATTTTATTTAACCTGCTACATACAGTAGCACTTTTGAGAAACAGTAAATATCTAATACGAAATACAAATATGATCGATGTACACTGCGTGAAATTGCCTAATTAACACCAAAAGTCTAATTATTTTAAACCCTATGTATACCTTCACTCTTTGGTCATTGGATGTGAAACTATGTGTCATATTCCAGGAGGGTTTTATAAAACTATGAATTTACATGAATGTGTCTTGCGCGTAACATACATAGATATTTTTTACAGAGAGATTTGCACAATTTTTCGCAAGAGATTTTCATATGTAGAAGACATTAATATTCCAAACATATGTACATATGCATTATGCATTGCATTAAGGGTTTATTTTGTCATTATCATTTAAGTATCACCTCCTGAAATTGATACTGATCGACAAATTTTTTACACTACGCATCCGCATAGAGAATGTACATACATACATACATACGTACATAATGTTGATATTCGTGTTGATGCACATACAGTCAATAAAAGAAGTATTCGTAACCCCAGCATAGGGTTCAGGACGGAAGCTATAACTTTCGCATGGGTTGGCTTATGTTCATGACTATTTGAACAAATACCACTAATCGCATCCACGTTCATATTCGGTTATCATTTTAAAGTTTAATCCGCCAGCAGCAGCACTGTTACTCATATTTCCCGAAAATGTGAATTTCCAATACCAAAAAAGTAATCGTACCCTTGAAATTTGTAATTTCACTTGGTTCCTGTTTGGATAAAATTACTCAAATGCAGAATTTCATGATATCGGGCAACTCAATGCCTACCCACGAAAAAAGTTTCGAAACGTAAACTCATCAGCCTGGCTGGGAGACTGGGATTTTCTACAAAATGTGACATGTAATCAAGAAATAAGCCTTGGATGTGGATAGATCATAGAAAAATCTGAAGTATGATCAAATTCAATTTGTATAATCATCATGAGCCTTCTTTGAACATAAATTGCTCAAATTCGATGCAGAGATGTGTCATGCAACGGATTGGAGCGTGAGCGCCCAGTCAGCAACATGGGGAAGGAGCGCAGTATGCCGTCAAAAAAACGAAAAAATATATTTTCAACATTTTCTTCCTTCCTACGTGTGTGCAAACTCAATACCCATCCATTTTAACCAATAGCACTTTCCTGTTATTAAAATTCGACCATCATTTAAGCCGAAGTTTAAAGATAAGGAATAACCTATTACAGACGCTTCCAACACGTAAACAATGGTTTGGTATTTGCTAGCCTGGGAAAGTTGAGTTATGCCGTTTTGAATAGAATGCAATTATTCGATTCAGATGAAGGTAATTGAGTCTAAAACAGACTTCACAACTCAACTCATTAAGGTCATATCTAGCCTTTCTGCTAATAGACTAAAACGGTATGAAAATTTTTTCATGCTCGAAGTTCTATTTTAGCTTAAATTTTGAAAGAATTTTAATAACGGGGAAGCGCTATTGGTTAAAATGGATAGATATTGAGTTGGCACACACGTAGGAAGGAAGACAATGTTGAAAATATTTTTTTTCGTTTTTTTTGACGGATATACTGCGCTCCTTCCCCACGTTGCTGGCTGGGCGCTCACGCTCCAATCCGTTGCATGACACATCTCTGCATCGAATTTGAGCAATTTATGTTCAAAGAAGGCTCATGACGATTATACAAATTGAATTTGATCATACTTCAGATTTTTCTATGATCTATCCACATCCAAGGCTTATTTCTTGATGACATGTCACATTTTGTAAAAAATCCCAGTTTCCCAGCCAGGCTGATGAGTTTACGTTTCGAAACTTTTTTCGTGGGTAGGCATTGAGTTGTCCGATATCATGAAATTCTGCATTTGAGTAATTTTATCCAAACAGGAACCAAGTGGAATTAAAAATTTCAAGGGTACGAATACTTTATTGGTAATGGAAATTCACATTTTCGGGAAATATGAGTAACAGTGCTGCTGCTGGCGGATTAAACTTTAAAATGATAACCGAATATGAACGTGGATGCGATTAGTGGTATTTGTTCAAATAGTCATGAACATAAGCCAACCCATGCGAAAGTTATAGCTTCCGTCCTGAACCCTATGCTGGGGTTACGAATACTTCTTTTATTGACTGTATGTACATATTTACATACAAATATACAGATGTAAAAAAAGATCATGGGGATAAAAATAGACTAGATACAAACTTTCAAGGTCAGTAAACCCTTAAATTTTGAATTTCAAGTTGATGGCACAATTATACATACATCGAGGGTGTTCATCCATTTAATAAATGAATACGAAGACGAATCTATGCACGCGAAGAAATATTATTTCTTCGCACAGATTCATGTAAGATTCACATCCATGATTTCTTCGTATTCCTCCATACACACTAGTGTAAAATAGTTTACGAAGAAAAACAAGGGTCAAGCTGCACAAATATCGTAGCCTTAGTAACACAATTTTCGGTGACAAAAACGTACTCGCTTACAAAATCTCGTAACCATTCGTAACTTATTTTACAACACGTATGTATGTCTGTAGAATACGAAGGATACATACGAAATACCCCCATTGTTTACGATTAGCTCAACTTTCCACCGTTCTCCATTCCATTCTGAGGAAAGGTCGTTTTCGAGTGAGGGTTTATGCATGTACATATACATAGCATGATTCAGTGATTAGTTGTCTAATTCTGCGTCATTGACGTATGTACATATGTATGTATGTATGTAGGTTGTGAGTCAGCAAGGCACGCTACTTCAGACAAGGAAATGAAATAAATTTCCAAACTTTAATTAATCGAAGTGAGAAAAAATTGGTGAGTTTTTACAAATTAATTCCATTGCTAATTCCGGATTGGATTTTAATTTGTGGCTCCAAGATTTACACAATTTCCAAACTACTCACTTAAATGGAAGGCTTCGTTATACTTATAATTAAATTATAATCAATTGTTAAAATTCAAAACACCAGTTTAGTGAAACTAATCCTCCAGTTAATGACGCCGTTAAATTATGTAAGCAAGATTTAGATTATTTTCCTTTTCTTTTCCTTTGCAATTTGAATTTTTTTATGAAATTTTTTGGTCTTAAAAATTAAAGCCTAATACATAATTAATTCCAGTGGGATCGAGAATTTTCCAAATAATGGCAGTCAACTTAATCCAACCTCCGGATGGTGTTTTTCGAGCCAAATTCAACACGGACTCGGATACTCGGCCGGTTATCTTGAATTATGTGGATCGTTGTTCCGTCGAGTCATTAATAATCATTTTTTATAGTTTTAATTTTCATGAAAATATTAAGTATGTATGTATGTGAAATTATTTTATGTCGATTTCCATGCAAGTTTTTAGTATGCAGTGTAATGTGAGAATGTTTAGCGGATTTTATGAATTTGTTCTCGAATGTTCGATTCTATTTTTAGAACATTCTTTCTTTGTCTTTGGGCAGTTCGAGCCCGCAGTTTTTAGAAGTAAGCTTTTGTCTGTGTGCGAGTAAGCACGTATATTCGTATAGAATCTCTGGTACTGTACACATCATTCCTCTCCGGTTTAATAGTGTCAGTTGAATAAATACCGTAATTTGGTATGATAAATGTTTGGTCAACCTAGTGCAATAATTTACAACTATTAGCACTACTCTGAGTTATCGCGAGAATCACGACCGCACAATCGTCAAAAGGTGATTTATATGTATTTATTTTGATCTAAACTGGAAACGCAAACCATATTCAGACCAGATTATTTTACGACCATGTCACTTTGAAATATCAACTCTTTAGAAACAACAGTTATTGCGGCATTTGCACAAACGCGAAAAATTCAGCATGTTCGGTTCTGGGCGCCGTAAGTTCGCAAAAAACGCGCAACTGCTGCCGCCGCTAGCCCAGATTCAGATGGAACACTGAGCACTTGCGACGCCCAAATTTTCGCATCTGGGCAAATGCCGAATTAAACGTTGTTGCTACATAGTTGCTCTTTCAAACTAACACGGCCAAAAAATTATCTGGGTTGACCATGGTTTGTGTCCGCACTGTTAACTTCAAATTTTTACTTGTGTTATTAACTTAGATAATGTAAATTTCAATGTATTTTAATTGCAGTACACCATTGGCGATACGTACACCTCGTGGGAGACGCAAGGCGAATTTATCTTCTTCAGGACGAAGGGCATCACGTGGAACTGGAGTTTCGGGTTGGAAATCTTATGCGATCTTGGCTCGTATTGGGTCAAACCTGTCAATGTTAGTAGTAAATATTTGACTTAATTAATCCCCAACCATTTTGCCACTCATGAATACTAATTTAGGGGAACGGAATCGGAATTTTAAAAAACGGCGTAAAACTAAATGACAAAATGAAGCTAAATTTTGGCGACATATTCACCGTGACGAAGCTCCGCAACGATATTTCTGGTGGACTTGCCATCTTTACGTTTGAGGTAAAAACAAATTTAAAAACAAATCCACAAATTTGAGTAATAATTAATTCCGTGGTGATTTTAGCGACGGAGCTACCCTGAGAATTGGGAAGCCTCTGATAAGATTAGTACCGCCGACACCACCAGTGCTGCTGGATCAAACGTCACACATTTCACACTGGATCGAAATCACTTGGTACGTGAAATTAAATACAATTACAGTGACGGCGGAAGTGGGGGAGAATAGGGGAGCATTATCCCCTCAGAAATTCAGAACATCCTATCTTTCCCATGTTAACCTCTTAACGACGAAGTACACACATTTGTATAGTATTGTATTTTTCCGTTGACGACGAAATACACAAATGTGTGTACTGCAGAAATTTACTTGACACCAAAATTTCTTTAAAAAAGGAATATTTCTTCGGTATTTTGTGGAAAACTCGATGGTGAAAAGTGCATTTTTTCGATATTTTTCTCCTGAAATTTTGGAATTTTCCCTATACCGACAAATGTTGAAAAGTGGATTTTTCGATGTTTTTCGTCAAAAACTCGAATATTGGAAACTGATGGAAAATTTTAATTTGTTGCTATTATCAGGTATGATTGTGAAATCAAAATCGTACCGAAGGGAAATTTTATTTAAAAATTAGTTGTCCGAAAGAGGTAAATAAATAACCCCCTCGTCCTCCTACATATTTATCTCAGAATTTTAACGTCCCCATGTGCCCCCCACCCATAAGTTCCGCACCCACTAGCGAAACACGAAATGTTGTGGCCTAAATTCTACCTTGATTTGTTCCAGATTTTCTCCAAAATTATGTCCTATCTCTCCGTCCGAAGTTTAAAGAACGCTCGACTAGTTTCTCGAAAGTGGAAAAAACAAGTGACTCCCATCCTGCGAAAGAAATCCGCTCTAACTTTTGATGATCCACGTGCTCCCAACGCTTCTCGGAAATTTTTGCGCTACGTTCATGACATAAAAAAGGTGACAAAATGGCCCCACTGGAAGATAAGCTTTCCAGCCCTTCCAGCCAAAGGGAACGACAAGGAAAATTGGAGAAATAAGTATGTCACCGATCTGAACTGGTTTCTACAGCCGAAGAGGGACCCCCTCATTAAAACCCTTTCCTTAAAAGGGGCACCGACTTTATCCTTAAAAGAGAACATCAAATCCAACCACGATTACAGGTTATATCTCGGCACCGTTTCTCAATTAAAAGACACCTTGGAAGAATTATGTCTTGATGTCAGTATGCGAATTTGGAAGAACGATGGCACCGAGAAGAAATACTATTCAACTCGGCCAGACCTACGTTTCAACAAATTGCAGAAATTTTCTCTAGTGCTGGATGATCTCTGCGAATTAAATCTGGACACGGTGACCGCTAACTGGATGGAAACTTGGGCTGACGCGATTACCCGGGTGATCTCCTTGTCCATTGTGGGCGCTCGTTTCCTGGGGACAAGATTTGTCCAAGAGTTGGGAACAACGGGAACTGCGCGGTATCAAAATTTGAGAGAAATCCTGATAACTTGCAAGCCAGAGGATGCCATCAATTTTCTCATTGGGGTGAACCAGCCTCTGACGAAGGTGACGTTGACGTTACCCTTGCAAAATCGACATCTTCCCGAATTTGAGAATTTGCTCAAGAAATTCGCCCCATCCTTGGAACTGCTTGACTTTCGTGTCGCCACGGATGGAATGGAAGAAAAGTCGCGTTTCGTCCTGCATCTGCCATGTTTTCCTAAATTGAAAAGCTTAGATTTTCATTTTGGAACTTTCAAAGATACGCCGTACTACACTGGACCGGATTGTGTGGATTGTCGTGTCAAAAACGTGGCAAGGGTAGGCCTCGAATTTCCTCCACGTGACCATGTCAATAATGGTATCGACTATGGACGCCACCTTCCCGAGATTCGTTCCATCGTCGTGACGCCATACATGGAGGACGAAGATGTTGATGGGGATGAAGACGATTTTTGGGAAACGTACAGCGATCTGATGGACAGTCTAGTTCCCCTGGAAAAAGGACAATGTTGTAAAACTCTGAAAAATTTCGATATTTTGAGGCGTAATATTGAACCTGAAACGAAATATCGTCAAGCTTCCCGACTCCAGGGAATATTTCCAAATGTTAGGAACGAGTGGATGGACAGATTGAGGGGGAAAATTGATAATTAAAGGAGCGATTGTATTGATACATTTGAAGTTACTTTTATTTAAGGAGTTAGTTAATACTAAATATATTTACCTCTGTGAAGTGGAGTTACATGTATATATGTCAAATATTTATATCCATACATCAATATCTAATAAATTCAGATGTACTAAAAATGTCCATGTTTTCAGACTTATACCCTCATGATTTTAGAAAGGTTTGGCATCACGTTTGGAACTGATTTGCTCGCAAAAATAATTTCTTCAAATGCATGTGTTATTTTACAGCATGGGCAGATAAGTAATTTGATCGAGGATGCGGGTTGGGGTGGATGGAAGGACCAAGGAAATGCAAAAATACCTAAAACCTGAGCGAAAATCACGGAAAATGTATGAAAAAAGCACTCCTTAATTATCCGTAAGCACGAATCACATGGTTATACGAGTGTTCAGTTAAATATCTATCCTTTGGCTAACCACCGATTTATGTAGGTTATTATCATTTAGTATGTAATATAAAAATAAATTGTACTATGCATACAAACTGTTTTTCATGAGAATGAGAAAGTTGTGACTGACGGTTTTTTACGGCACCTCATTGCAAACGAATCGTTTGCAGTTTTTAAGTAGCGTCAGCTACTTATTGTGATCGTTTTGTCCGTCCGTCCGTCGGTCCGTCTGTCCGTCTGTCCGTAAGCAGGATATCTCCAGAACGAGTCAACATAATCAAACCCCGTTTGCGCCATTGTGCTTCTAATTTTGAGTCGGTCGAGTTCGAAATTGTGGTCAATCGGACCACCCCCCACAGCGCCAGGGGTTGTGGTCCAAATTAAATTTAACTTTAATTTTCATATGGGGTATCACTTTAAAGGAAATTTCACCACGAATCCAATGGCGTTAAAATTTTTCACCTTTTGACCGTGACAATGAGGTCACAGGTCAAAAGATACATAATTGTCATATGGGATGTCATTTTTAAGGAAATTTGACCGCGATTTTGGAGACGCTGATATTTTTGACCTCATGACGTTGAGGACGAGGTCCGGGGTCACAAATAAATAATTGTCGGATACGGTGACACTTTAAAGGAAATTTCGATCGGTCTGACGCTACTTTTTTATATTTGTTTGCAAGGGTTTATTTTAGACAAGGACGCAGATTAATTAGAAAACAGGTGACGAGTGAAATTAATTTCCAAACTTGAAACTTACGCTAGAATAAGTAGGCAAGTTTTAATTCTGTTCCTTATTTCTGATTATCCAATCAGAGTTACATATGTTGATGGGATATGTTGATAAAAAACACCAAGTTAAATGGCAGACTTCGTAATTTTGAGTATTACTTTAATTGTTAAAATAAGTAATAATTTAACTGCTATTTAGCAAACTGCTAGTAGCAGTGAAATTTTTCAGTTCAATTTTTTTCCAAAGCGAGGTTTCTTGGTGATGACCCAAGAGTCTGCTTTCGGCCTTAGACTAGACAACATCTCTGTTGTTGCTTCCCAATTTTCCAATTTTTGAAAAATTTTTGATACCCCCTATTATTTTTTTTACTCTTTTTGCCTTTTTTAGATTTGCTTTATTAGTAAAACATATACTCCTCATTAGATTTTAATTTTCTTCCGCTCCCCTTTTTATTATTTTGATACCCCCTGACCATTAAACTGTTTCGCAATTTTTCCAATTCTTCAATACTTTTCGAATCTTTTAACATTTTCTCAATTCTTTAACTTTAGAATCCTTTTTCAAAGCCATGGACGACGAACAAGTCTTTCTATCTTTTTGCCAAATGTCCCATGAGATGGACCTGCTTTACCGATAGTATCCTGGACTATTCGGTCAGGTAGGGTTTCCTCTCATGATCTACCCAACTCCGGGGCATAGATCACCTGAGGGGGTGGCCAACCACCTCGCAAAAAAACACGCACATTTCGTGCAGTACGCATTAGAGTTGCCACTTCAACTCGGCTTGACTCAGCTTATTGAGTGAGTCAAGCCGAGTCGAGTTGACCTCAAGTAAGCCGTCGACTCAATGAGTTGGTTTATTGAGTTGTGAGTTGTGAGTGAGTTGGACTCGGCTTGACTCACTCACTCAATAAGCCGGCTGGGTCCGCCTCCTCGTACTTACACACATGCACAAACAAATCCTGTTGTCTCCAACTTGTAAACACAAAATGCATGCACACGTATGTACATATGCTTCGTCCATAAGCTGGCTCCACTCACTCACTACTTTCGCAATTTTACTCTCAAAACGTAGTTCTTTGGGGTGAATTTGACGTTTGGTTGACAAAAATCGGTCAACACATGCCAAAGAAATCGACATCCGAGGTCGACCATCTCCTTACACATTTTTGCGAAGGAGAATTGTCACGTGGGAAAATTGTGGAGAAGTAGAACATACCCGGATGCAATGTTACTCGTTCTTCAACATATCGTGAACTTAGTTCCGCTTTAATTAGATCAATATCTAAATTAGCGGGACTGGCATCCCCAATAAAGTTGCTGCTCCCAAAAAAGTTTTCGCGTACCGTTTTTCGAAAAATCGACGCCCTGACAAGGCGAGAAAATCTTTTGACCCCAACTCAAATTGGAAAACTTGTTAAAATATGTCAGCTGCATGTAAGTTGTGTCATCAGCAACAAACTTTAAAAACAGGTCAGAAAAAGGCCAAAGTTCACGCGAAAACAAACTTCACAACGAAAATCTCTAGGAAAACGACCCAGTATGCAGCCGAGTAAAAACAAAAGCTAGGGATTTCAATTGTTCCTGATTCCCAGATACCTATGACAAATCCTTATGCCACTCCTTTAGATTTTTAATGGGTTTAGACTATTAAAACCATAGCTTCTTCTCAGACGAGCTCCAGTTTTTTTTGGTGTTTCGGAAAAACCTTCAGGTGGAGTTGAAAAACATTGCTCTCCAAAATATAGGAAAATTAATGAATTCGTGAAAACGGCGATATAGGCTGGCTAGCCAAAGGTTTGAGGAACGTATTGAACAATCGAAACAAATTCATCGACGCCGAGTGAAGGTTTGAGGTCAATTTTAAAACCTGTGCAAATACGATCTGTGATCCTCAGTATCAATCTTCTAGGGGTCCAGTCTGACGGGTCTGAATGTAAACGTAGGCCACATGTTGTTTTTTTACCTAACCCCTGGGTAACGCAAAGAGCAGACTATGGTATTTTTTTTTAAAATTTTATTTATAACTAAATATTAAGCGAATCTAATCTAACCACACTATTCAGACTACCGAATCTCATCTCACCCTAGGAGGCAAACTTTGAATCGGTTATCTAGCCAGTGGGTTATTACATCAAAACATGGTTTTAAATGCAAGAAAGCTTAGTTTTATCATTGCAATGATCATGCTAATTTAATGTTTTTACATTGCTAGAAATTGTATCTAGCAAACCTTAAATTGTGCGCAAAAATTGTAAGACGAATTTTTGGCGTAGAATATATCCAATAAAAATATGAAAGAATTGGACGAATGAAAGAATATGAAAGAATTTGAAGAAAGAAGTTGACCCAATGCGCTTGATAATTTATGCGTTTTACGTGAACAAATAAAGCAGCACCAACACAGCTACAACTTTAGCAGAAACTACAGCACCTTACATCATCATGTTTTAACGGCTCGTACAATTTTTTTACCTGACCCCAACGGCTAGTTGAGGGTTTCATACGAGGGGCAACGACTTGTACCTGTCTTGTACAGATATTTCTGTCCCGAATGATGACCAATGGGGGAGGACAACGACTTGTCCCCTCCCTCCATTTCATCAACCCGCCGAATAGCCTTGTGAAGGACCGCAATCAATGCGTCCTATGACCGATTCCTTTCCACCCAGGCCTTCTGGGTGGCCAAAGGAGCCAAGCAAGAAGCAAAATCTTTGAAACTTTCCCAAATTTCAGGATTTTGTTCCGCGCTTGGCTCCTGCAACATTACCTGCACTCCTTCATTAGACGCATCCTTAAAAACACTTTTAATAAACACTTTATACCCAACCACACAAACCAAAAACTCGGAAGAAAAATATTCTGGGAGCTTAGATGTTGCCTGGTCGGAGGCTGAATGAAGACTGACTGAGGTGTCGAGGTCCTGAGGTACTCAATTTTCTAAAAAACCTTTTTTGCTCAGTTTTTTTAGACCAAACGATTGGCGGAACACTCATTGTGCTATCTCGCTTAATGAATGAATGGGAGCATTTTCAATTCCAATTAACACGTTTCAAGCGAGTATAATTCCAAGTCCACATGCGACTAGAGATTGGCTCCTCTAGCTTCCTTCTCAATGTCAGGTCGCTCTCGGCTCGTAATTTGTAAATTGTAATTTACAAATCGTCGCAATTTAATACAGCGTGGACTTTATAACTTGCGTTACTCATGAACAAATTCAGAAGCACCAACACCAGCCGCAACTACGGCACCAAGACCAGCACCAAAGCACCAACACCAGCAGCAACTAGAGCACCTGGATAATCATATCGTTTTGACGGCCTGTACAAGTTTTTTACGTGACCTCAAGGGCTAGTTGAGGGTTTTATACCCAGAGCAACGACTTGTACGTCTTGGAAACAACCTATGATGCGCGCTTTTCGAGTCGCACGTTGCCCCAAATTAAAAATCTGAGGCACCTGGATGCCCAAAAGTACTTGTTTATGGACAAAAACGTACCAAATACTCTGGGCAAACTTTAGAGTTGTGCAAAAATAGTCCCGCGTCAGCTGGTCGTCCAGGGAAATTCAAATAATTATGTATCAAATTACCCCAAATTCGGCATTTTTTGGATTTTTATAATTTTTTGCACAGATCCACCCAATCGAATGGGAGCCCATGTTGTACCAAATTGTAACGCCCCCTGTTCTAACTATGGGGTTTGCGTGTCCCTGTCCACACCCACTTTCGTGGATGCCCCTTGTTTTGTGACTTTTGAGCGAATAAATGTGGTTGAAGTCCACTTATTTAGTAAGATTATAAAATATATTTATTATTATCAATATCGACTGAAAAATATTGATTACCGAAATGCTAGTATTATTAAATACGTGGGAGAGCTTATGGCTAGTTTATATTTTACACCTTATCTAGACGGGAACTTATTCTACTTTAAGAAAACTTAAAATTATG